TTTTAATCAATATTTTACATGTCATTTTTTCTTCTTTTTTTTCTTTTTATAATACGTATTAATATAATTTATATTAAAAATATTTTAGTCTCTTTGTATTAGTTTTAGTTTTAAATTATATTAATTATTAATTCAAGACTTACTTTACACCTTTTTTCTATTTCCCAAAGAAAAAAAAAGCTTCAAAATTTTATTTGACTACTATAGATGTCTATGAAATTTGATGAACTAATACAATATATTTATCAAAATCTTATTTTGTGTCCTCGTCATCCCATTGTATTGGGTCTTCTCTTATCTTCTCATCATCACTTTCTTTTGAAAGCCTACATTAAAAACAAAAATATATTCTATTATCTTTCGAAAGTTTTTTTTTATGAAGTTAAGAAAATATCTTTTTAAGTAATGTAAAATAAAATCAAGTAAAAATCATACAAAAGTCTTCTTCTCTTTATCAAGCTCTTTTCGGACTTCACTTCCTTATGCACATTTGTGAGATTTTTACTTGATGAATATGATGATTGATCAATTGCATTTGATTTCCCAAATCAAACATCGAACACATTTTTTTTTTTTTGCAACTTTTGATAATAATATGAAAGCCTGAAAGGCTGAATTAATTAAATAATTAAATGAAATATTTAATTTAAATATGTCTTAGTGGAAAATTTTGGAAAATTTTAGATTTAAATAGAATGAGTTCGACAAAAAAAATTATAGTATAATAAATAAATTACAAATGTCTTAATATTTAAAATTTTGAATTAAAAATTAGATTAATAAAAATATTACTTGTACAGTGCCATGCATTGTCTAATAAAATAATAGATATTTTATTTGACAATTGTAAGATACATGAGACTAAATGAAAGAACTCAACATAAGAAAATGATAGAAAATAAGATTAATAACCCATGGATGATAAAAATAAAAGTGAATATCTCATGGCATGATCATATAAATTTTTAACAAATATGAGAATAATACGCAAAATGAAAAAGATTAAAACATTACGTAAATATATTTGGCACTCATTTGTTAACATCCATGTCATTTAGAATGGTATAAGTTAATAAATAAAACAATATTTCTACAAAAGTATTCAAAGAAATTGAAATTATTTTCGTAAAAAAGAATAATCAATTATTAGATAAAAAATAAACTAATATTAC